CACCTGTTGATTGACGGTTGAGAGGCGGGACCAAAGAGCCAGAGCTCAACCCCCGCAAACACAACTAGGTGAGTACAACTAGGTGAGTACACACACACACACACACACACACACACACACACACACACACACACACACACACACACACACACACACACACACACACACACACACATATATATATATATATATGTCGTACCTAGTAGCCAGAACTCACTTTTTGGCCTACTATTCAAGGCCCGATTTGCCTTATAAGCCAAGTTTTCCTGAATTAATATATTTTTTCTAATTTTTTTCTTATGAAATGATAAAGCTACCCATTTCATTATGTATGAGGTCAATTTTTTTATTGGAGTTAAAATTAACGTAGATATATGACCGAACCTAACCAACCCTACCTAACCTAACCTAACCAATATTTATAGGTAAGGTTAGGTTAGGTAGCCAAAAAAAGCTAGGTTAGGTTAGGTTAGGTAGGTTAGGTAGACGAAAAAACATTAATTCATGAAAACTTGGCTTATTAGGCAAATCGGGCCTTGAATAGTAGGCTGAGAAGTGCGTTCTAGCTATTAGGTACGACATATATATATAATATATATATATATATATATATATATATATATATATATATATATATATATATATATATATATATATATATATATATATATATATATATATGCGAACAAGCCTGAATGGTCCCCAGGACAATATGCAACTGAATATATATATATATATATATATATATATATATATATATATATATATATATATATATATATATATTAACATTTAAAAGATTTTTTATGTTTTTCTTTGACATAATGACAAATACTTGAAGGAGGGCGAAGTGCTGCCTTCAGGGAATTCAATAAGAAAGGCGGACTTTCAATTACTTCCTCAAACTCTGCGGACAGAGTTAATTATCTCTCAGTTTATGCAGAGTTGAAGGAATAAGAAAATTTGGCCACTGTTCTAAGTTGGAACTTTTTTTCCGGGAGACGGGTGCTGCGAAGGACAGTATATCTAAGGACAGAGTATGCTTGGATTTACTGTAGAGTATGCCCGAAGACAAGGTATACCTGGATGATTGTGATGAAGGAAGATTGATTGATTGATAAAGATTAAGCCACCCAAGAGGTGGCATGGGCATGAATAGCCCGTCAGTGGTACAATTTTTTTGTTCAGTAATTCTGTTCTGTATTCTGAGGTGGCATTTAATCGTCAAGCTGCTATCGCGGGATGAGGGAAGGAGGCGAAGGACAATAAATAGGCAAGAGAGAGAGAGAGAGAGGTGAGGAGAAAAAAATCTTAGAGATAGAAAAGCAAGGCAAAAGGTACGAAAGGTAAGGTGCAATAAAGGGGTTAATAATAGGAATAAGAACATAAGTACATAAGAATAAAGGTAACTGCAGAAGGCCTATTGGCACAATTGACTTGAGAATGGTCCAAGACGGACCGAAACATCGTCGTCCCTTCACTTTCTAGTGTGTGGTCTGGTCAACATATTTCAAACACGTTACTGTGACTCCTCGTCTGCATAAGGTATACCTAAATTTCTACAGAGTATCCCAGTGAACAAGATCTACCTGTTGTTTGTTCCGGAAATCAATGTCCCTGAGGCCCGGTCTCGGACCAGGCCTCCTGGTTTGTGGGGGTTTACCGGGCTGTCAGCCACAGCTGCTCGCAATTTGATGTATGAGTCACAGCCTGATTGATCTGGTATCCATTGGGAGTGTTTATCTTGTTCTCATTTGAGCACATTGAGCCAATCGGATAGTTATGCACCTTATCTTTAGAGTGAGAGTGTAGATCAGTCTTGATGTTCATTAAATCTCTCTGTCTCTCTATCTCCTCTCTCTCTCTCTCTCTCTCTCTCTCTCTCTCTCTCTCTCTCTCTCTCTCTCTCTCTCTCTCTCTCTCTCTCTCTCTCTCTCTCTCTCTCTCTCTCTCTCTCTCTCTCTCTCTCTCACTCTCTCTCTCTCTCTCTCTCTTCTCTCTCTCAGCGTACCTATTGCACCTCTGCTTTTCAACGAGGCTAATTTGCACTTCCTGCCATGTTTACTGGTCTGATGAAATGTTATTTCTCTGTGCAGATTTGGAACCAGTTTCTCCAATATTTTCCAATAACCTTAACCAAGTGTAATAAGTGTCTCTCTCGTCTGTCTTCTAGAGAATACTGATTGATACATTTTAAACGCTCCCGATAATTTCGATGATTTATTGAATTTATTCGAGCAGTAAAAAAAATCTCATTCTCCAGGGCAGAGATTTGGTATCTTTTGTTTGAAAAGTTTTTGATATCCAACCTGTCATTTTTCTTGCAGTTGTGACAGTTATTTTTATTGTGTTCATTAAAAGTAAGGTCTTGCGATATGTTTTCTCCCAAATCTGTTATACTATTTTTTTGTCCTATTTGCGTGATTTTACTGTGTTTTTTTCAGTTTCGATATTCTCGTTTTTAACCGTAGTGGAGTAAATGGAATTGATCTTCATTGAACATCATGCTGTTTTCTGTGGTCCTTTGGAAGACCAGATATAGTATATCTATATACTATATACTATATACTATATACTATATACTATATACTATATCAGTATAGAGGAGTCATATGTCCTTCATATTGCCAACTCTCGTAAAAATCTGTGTGTAATCTGAACAGAATAATACGGTGCTATAGTCTGTGTCCTTGTCTATATTCGATTTGAAAATGAAAAATGAGAAAAGTACATCCCCTATTGACCTATTCAAGGTGAATGATCCGGATTTCAGTTTATTGACAATTACTCTTTTGGGTTCTGATTGTTAGGAAATGGAAAAACCCCTCTTCCTACTTTGCCAGTAATTCCCTTTGTGCACATTGTGTGTGCAATAACACCATGGTCACCTGTGTTGCATGCTTTCGCAAAATCTGAGTGTACATTGCATCAGTGTTTTATGCACATCTTCCATGGCATCTTAGGCCATTTCATAGTGATCTTGCAGCTGTGAGAGGCTTGAGTGTCCTGTCCTACACCCGTGCTGCTTAGGGTTATGAAGACGCTGTGTCTCCATTTGCTAATTATGATCTTGCTAATTAGCAAGCTTTTAACGCCGGTTATGATGATGTGTTGTTTGTGCTCTCGTGTTTATAATGTGTTTCGTCTGTTTTATATACAACTGGATTATTGAATCCCTGAGGAGAGGGTATACCTAGATTACTGTAGAGTTTACCAGCTATAGTTTACCTGGATTACTGTAGAGTATTCCCGAGGATAGAGTAATTGGATAGAGTAATCTACAACAATATAGAGTCACCTATATTGTTGTAAATTAATCTCCGAAGACAGGGTATACATGAATTATTAATGAGTATCCCAGAGGTCAGATTATAATGGGACTACAGCAGAGTAGCCCCGAGATAGATAGTCTACAAAATAGATTATTTACCCCTAACCAGTCAGCTCCAGTTTATAGCCACCCTGCAACTGTTCCATGAGGTTATGTGTTCACAGTGAGCTTGATCCAGACTGTCGTAAAACCGATAACAGTATCCTCCAGTCTCTTCAAGGCTCTTCTCTGGAGCTAATCTGGCCTCTGGGGGTAACACAATCCTTCGTAACGCTTGTCAGTCTCACTGTTACAGAACATAAAGAGAATCACAATTGTGTGATAAATCCGTGAAAAAATCATTCGGACGCAACGCGGAGATTTGAAGCAGCGTTGTATAGTGACTATACCCCAGACGGCTTGGCTTAACTCACTCGGCCACTTTGGCACAAATTCTATAGTGGCTGAGGGTGGTGTTAAGGCCAGGGTCTGGGAGGCACCAGAACGCTGGTTCGAAACTCTATGTTACGCTCTAAATTATTTTCTCATTGTTAGAGTTTTATGGTATATGTGTTGTACTTGCCTCGGCAAGTATAACTTTTTTTTCAAAATTTTGTTTTCCACAATGAATGTGTCTACGGATGTTATGTACATCTGTTCTGTTCAGTAATAAATGTCACGATTTGCATAAGTTATGAATAACAGCTTCAGTGGTGGTGGTTGTGGTGGTGGTTGTGGTGGTTGTTGTGGTGGTTGTGGTGGTGGTTGTGGTGGTTGTGGTGGTAGTTGTCGTGGTGTAGAGGATTTCCTGGTGCAAGACAGACCTATCTGCTCCTTTTTGGTGGTATTAAATGTTGGAAATACAAGTAGGGGTTAGTATGCAATGGTCATGTAATGGGTGGGTGTGCAATGGATGGGTAATGGCTGGATGTTCAATGGATGAATATTGAGTGGGTGTGGAATGTATGGGATATATATAATTGGGTATTTTTAGTATGAGTAATGGAAGGGTGAAAGTGGTTTGGATAACATGTTGGTAAGGGAAGACTGATCAACGGACTATTACAGAAAGTATGAATAAAGAATTAGGACATATTTTTGACGTACATCCAGCTTGATCCTGTAATACTCTCCTCCCCACATGAGAGTTGGATACAGCGTAATACAGCTTTATTTTGTATTACTGTTGATATACGTTGTCTTACGGCCGTTAACGACTGTAATACTAACACCAACATCAACAACGGTAACAGCTGAAAAACTAACGGTAGTGATAGTGCTGGTGGAAGCCGAACTAATAGGAAGGAACTAATAGGAAGCTACTGGTGGAAGCCGAACTGACGTAGAAATAGTTTTCCTATTAGTTAAAGTTGTTAAAGTAATGATAATAGTAAATAGTAATAAATTAGTAATAATTGGTTGTAAAGCGACTCTCGGGTTGTGTTCTGGTGGACTACGTAGGATAAGGCTTCAAATAAGCTATCGGAGGGAGAGCTCTTAACCTGTAACCACAGAGCTGTAGAAGAGTAAGCTCTTAGCCACCAAAAAAAAAGAGCCAGAAGACTCTTGAACCCTACAAAGTGTGAAAAAACAAAGTCGTATTATGGAAACTTTGGGATCCGAAAAGGCGGAGTTTGGAGGCAATTGTAATCTTGTAAAGTGGATCCTCTGTTTTTTTGTTTTTGGTCAGAGATCTCTCCAGTTATTGAAGAGAACGGTGTGGATATAGGTCAGCTGAAGTTATTAGTAGAGAAAGAGCTCTTGAGGAATGATCATATGTGCAATGTGAAGGGTGAGTGAGAGCTCAGGATTGATTCAGCATGAATGAAGACTCATGAATGAGGCAGCACGAATAGCAAGGCATGAATGAGGCTATCGTAAATAGAGGCTGACTTCCACAGAGCCTCTGAACTCAGATCGGATAGCGGGATGCCTATATGAGAGGAAGTCAAACCTATGCTCCAAGAGAACGTCTTAAGGCTCGCTCAATACGTGAAATCGAACAAAGTTATTAGCGGCGTTATTAATATAAGTGATTGTATTGGTAGGAACAGGAGTAGAAGTTGTGCTGAAGGGTCCAGGTTCGAGTCCTGGCCGGGGCTGGATTGTCTTTAGTCCTTATTATAGCTTTTTACCTCTGTTCACCCAGCAGTAATTGGGTTCCTGGTTGTTAAGCGATTGTTGGGTGTTGTTCCAGGGAAGACTAAGACTTACCAGGAGTTAAGGAACGTAGTAATTGTAGCAGTAACGTGATTGTTGTCATAATTGTTATTAATAATGACACTGTCCTCGAATGCATCGATCCCCATCTGCTTATATCCACCCCAAGTCTCATTCACACGTGTCTATCCCACGCTTGAAACAACTTTAAGTGAACTTACGTTTCAACGCCCCCTTTTCTCTACGCCAGACCCCCCTGTCGTGCGTCTGTCGCTGGGTCGCCCGTTGGATCCCGGCAGCATTAAGGAAGGGGACGATGTCTACTTCGAATGCCGAATCGTCTCAAATCCGCCGTACCAACGAGTAGACTGGTACCATAACGTGAGTACCAGAGTTCGATGTCCATATACAGTACTTCGGTACTTCGATACAGTACTTCGGTATCCACACAGAACGTGATTCTGGCTTTGCATATCAAGATGTCTAATTTTAGTTTTCATTTCTTGAATCCGGATTGAGCCTGACAAGCAATCCGTGTTTCGTTTTTGTGTGTGTTTTGGGATTTTTAGGAGTTTCTGTGAAACGACTTGTGTCTCTGATTGCGGTTTTGTGTCCCTGATCCCAGTTGTGTGTCCCCGAATCCCAGTTATGTGTCCCCTGATCCCAGTTGTGTGTCCCCTGATCCCAGTTGTGTGTCCCCTGATCCCAGTTGTGTGTCCCCTGATCCCAGTTGTGTGTCCACTGATCCCAGTTATGTGTCCCTGATCCCAGTTGTGTGTGCCCTGATCCCAGTTGTGTGTCCCCTGATCCCAGTTATGTGTCCCTGATCCCAGTTATGTGTCCCCTGATCCCAGTTATGTGTCCCTGATCCCAGTTATGTGTCCCCTAACCCCAGTTATGTGTCCCCTGTTCCCAGTTGTGTGTCCCTAATCCCAGTTATGTGTCCCTGATCCCAGTTGTGTGTGCCCTGATCCCAGTTATGTGTCCACTGATCCCAGTTGTATGTCCACTGATCCCAATTATGTATCCCCTGATGCCAGTTATGTGTCCCCTGATCCCAGTTATGTGTCCCCTGATCCCAGTTATGTGTCCCCTAATCCCAGTTGTGTGTCCACTGATCCCAATTATGTATCCCCCTGATTACAGTTATGTGTCCCCTAATCCCAGTTATGTGTCCCCCTGATCCCAGTTATGTGTCCCTGATCACAGTTGTGTGTCCCCTGATCCCAGTTATGTGTCCCTTATCTTAATTAGGTGTTCCTAATTCCAGTTATTGTGTCCCTGATTTCAAATTATGAGTTTCTGACTCCCAAATATGCATCTGTAATTGCAGCAATTTGTCCCTGATTCCAAATACTTATACCGAAGACTATACATGTGACTCCGGACAGAGATGTTTCAGGTGTGTCTCATATCCTCGCTGTATATATGTAAGCCACAGCTAGAAGGTGTATATTTATATACATCGAGAAGCTAGGTACACTTCCCAGTGTATATACACCGAGAAGCAGTCCCTTCCCCCTTCCCCCCCCCCTCAACCACTGTACTGACGTGTGTGTGTGTGTTGGGGGGTTTTCAGGGGGTGTTGGTGCGACGTAACGACACCTCTGGTGTAGTGGTGGTGAGTGGGCTCAACCTGATCCTGCGGAGCCTCCGTCGGGAACACTCGGGGTCCTACACCTGTGGAGCCACCAACGCCGAGGGCTACAACACCAGTAACACCGTCACCCTCACCGTCAGGCGTGAGTTGACATCACTGTCTTGAGATTTTGTATGTCTTGACTCATTCTCTCTCTCTCTCTCCACCAATTTTAACATTAAGAATATTCGTGTAAGTTTCATTTCTTGTCTTAAGGAGTTGCTGGAGTCTCCATGATGTTGGGTTGCCAGCACCAGCGCTCACCTGGCCTCCTCTCGCATATTAATTTCGTGCATGAGATGAGGATGCGACGGCCGGAAGGTTATTGAGGGCCATTATGTGTCATTAGGCACTCATTTACGCGGTGTTTGGCACTTGTTATTAGGGTCAT